AACAAAATATATTAAGGGAACTTTCACAAGCTGAAACATTCTGACAGACTCGAGGGGATGACTAGTTGCTGTTTCTGACACTCAAAATGCCTACAGGAAAATTTGGGCTATGTGTGTGTAACCAGAGTAAGGAAAGAGTCTGAAAAGGCCACAAAAGCTACACAAGCTCTTTTCCCACAAACCACATCACCAGTGGGGACAGAATTAGTCCACAAACTAAATCCTTAAGGTTACTGGCAAACAACAAATCCTGCAGGCATTAGAGAATGCCAGTTTGGGGACTGGGGGAAAAGGAAAAAAAAGGCATGCAAGACATAGAAATTACTGTACAAGGCTGTAGCCTCGTACCAAGGACACAGACACACACACCATTTACAGCAATATACCTTTTATTATTAAGTGAAAAGCACATAAAACTAGAATTTGAGGTTTCCATCCAAAAGAAGGGAAAGATAATGCTCTACTAGGGTTCCTGATTTTCCTTCCCAGCAGCAGATGTGCCCATTATGAGATGCTATCAATGAAGTTTACCTGAGAGATCAAAAACATAAAGTCTATTTGTACAGCACCACATTCCCTGACCTCTTCCCTCAGCATTTCAGCTCAGGGCAGCAAATAACACAAAACCCAATTGTGATTTCATTTGATCAGGTCAGTATTTCTGTAGCCTCAGTGTATCCCTAACTCTGAAACACACATGAGGCACAGAGGAGGAGTAACAAAGGCATTGAGAGTCATTTCTATGGAGTTATTTCTAACCTCCAACACTATTTTACCTACAGTAACATAACTGCAATGCAGGAGTGAGCCCTGAAACAGAACCTGCCTGAGGAGAATGGTGAACTCCCCCCAAAGCTCATGTCCCAAGAACACCGCTCCTACAAGGCCTCTACACACAACTTCACAACTTTCAAACCCCTCCAAACAGCTGCATCCACAGAAGGGATTTCACATCCATTTTCAGTCACCAACCTGAACTAAGGTCTCACGAGCAGCTTCACCAGCCTGAGATGCAGCAACCACAGAGCCCCAGTGACAGGAAACAGCAGCAGCCTGAGGCCGCTGCAGTGCTGTGCCCACCCTGCACCACCCAGCCCTGCCAGTCCCCCCTGGCTGGGCTGCAGAGTGGCAGTGGGTGCTGTGCCTGCCAGCTCTGCTCCTGCACACACCCCACAGCCTCCTCAGCTCCCACAAAGGACTCTCCTGCCTTCAGTTTATGCTTGTTGAAAGGTTCTCACACTCCAAACAGGAAAAAGCTTTTTACTACAAGAAAGCCATGAAATGCTTCCCTTGCTGGGACCATGCAAGTAATTGCTGAAGCTGCTCTGGAATCCATGCACTGACACAGCAACAGCCACAAAAAAATCCAGAGTTCTCTCTTCCTGTCACTTGTGGCAGCAGAGAAACTGCAGCCACGTCACAGCCCTGCTCTGGCTCCCACTGCAGCTGACACACAAGTGCCCCCCTGTCCAGGTACAGCACCTGAGGGCTTCACATCAACCCCTGCCAAGGCCAGAACCCCTGGCAGACGTGGGCACAAGTGAATTTGGTATTTCAAGGCACAGTCATGACTCCTTCCTGCTTTTGCCACAGCAGGAGTGACACAGAACAGACAGCGAAGCCAACAGCACCTCTGCGCTCCCAAAAACACAGACACAAAGGACTCCACCTGAACACAAGCCCAACAGAAAATGTTTGTGGAAACAGCATCGTTTTTGGACATATACATGAAGGTTTATTCCTCTTTAGAGTTCCTGAGAAAATGCTCCTCCTGCAGCAGCAGGGAAGCTGCAAGGAATCCTTTTGTGAAGGCTGGTAACAATCATGTAACATCTACAGAGACCCAGCACCAGCAATTTCCCTGCTGTCCCTGCACACAAGTCCAGCAGACAGCAAAACTGAGCAAAGAGTGAAAGTCCTAAATATAAAGTGTGAAAAAAAAGGAAAGATCTCCAGTCATACATGACAGTTCTCAGACATCCTTTTATTAAAAAAACAGTTCCTATTGGGAGTTAGGAGCCACTTACCTGACACAAATAAATCTTGTGCAAGTTCCACTCCTCTCCCAGAGCACAAATCTTAATATCACTGTTCTCTCCATTCAAAAACAGTGTCTGATAAATATATTTCGACGTGCTTTTCAATTTTTTCCTAGTAAAAACAAAACAAGAAACCACAAAAATTGAGAAATACTCTTTGAAAGTCTCCCGTTGAAGCGGCAACAGTTGCTCCAAGCCCTGGTGGCGTTCGTCCAGCCCAGACCGGCGCTACTGCCGTGTCCCCCCGTGCCGGCACCGCTTCCCCGCTGCTGCAGCATTCCTCCGGGGCCTTTCCCGAGCGCCCCAGAGCCACTCCCTGATCCGGGCAGCCCCGGGAGGCCTCACCCCGACACCCCTGGGCTCTGAGGGGAGGCCGGGCCTGGCCCTCGAGTGTCCCCCCCGAGCTGCGCTTCAGCCGGGCCCCGCATCCCCTCAGCCCGGCTCCGCATCCCCTCAGCCGGGCCCCGCATCCCCTCAGCCGGGCCCCGCATCCCCTCAGCCGGGCCCCGCATCCCCTCAGCCCGGCTCCGCATCCCCTCAGCCCGGCCCCGCATCCCCTCAGCC